TCGCAAGTCCTCACGACCTCCTTTCGATCGGGCGCCTCGGCCTCGAGCCAGGCCATGCCGGCGCTGGCGGGGCCCTCGTTTGTGAGGGCCCAGTCATGCGACTGCGCAAGGGGCACGGAACATCCGTTGATGAATGTTTCCCCTGCCTAGGTTTGAGGGGCCCCGTTGTCGGCGCCCTGCGCGGGGGCGTTTCGACGCGGCTGCCCTCCGGCGACAGAGAGCCTTCACCCTGAGTTCTGCGCGGTAGACCCGGTAGAACTCGGGGCAGAGCTCGACGAGCACGGCGTTTTTCCGCGCGAGTTGGCGCCTCTTGTTCCGCGCGTCGCGGCACCCCTGGCGCGTCGCGCTCTAAACCCCCATGCGTTTGAAAGGTCTGCACATATGCTTGGGCATTGCTGGGCGGTTTGAGCCAAAACGCCACTAGAGACAGCGATGCACGACTCGTTACAAAATCTACCCCCCCCCGTCCTCCTCATGCTCCTCCTCGCCCCGTCCTCCCCCTTCTCCTCCTCCTCCTCCTCCTCCTCCTCCTCCTCCTCCTCCTCCTCCTCCCCCTTGTCCTCGCCGCCCTCCTCGCCCTCCTCTCATCGTCCTCCTTCCCCCGCCCCCTCCTCTCCAAGCGTGGCGGAAGGCCCTCAACCTTGCAGCCTCGACAAGTGGGTTCAGAGGGAATGAGATCCAGCGCGACTTGCAATGACCAGCAACGGCACCACTACCAACGCCCTCAGCCCGAAACTCCACTGCCCCGAAAAAGGACCAGAGGATGAGGAGCAAGAGGAGGAGGAGGAAAAGGAAAGCTAAGATTAGGAGATAAGGATATGAGGAAGAGGAGAGGCAGAATATGAGGATAATGGAGAAGATGAGGAGGACGCCCCCCCCAAGTCCGTCGTTTGGGGGTGCTGGGGGAGTTCAATCATACACACATATATATATATATATATAGTCCAGGGTCTGGCCCCCCCGCGCCCCCCCATGCCGATGCAATCGCCCCCCCCCCCCCCCCCGCGCGGTGCCCCCCCCTGTGGGTGTGGTGTGGAGCTGTTGGTAGTGTGGCGTGTGTGGCGTGGTACTGTAGTGCTCAAGGAGAACTCCAGAAGTCGTCGTCGTCATCGTCGGAAGGCTTCGGAATTCGGCCCCGCCGCCGCCGTCGTCGTCGTCGTCGCCAACGTCGTCGTCGTCGTTGTCGTCGTCGTCGCTGCCGTCGTCGTCGTCGTCGCCGTCGTCGTCGTCGCCGTCGTCGTCGTCGTCGTCGCCGCCGCCGCCGCCGTCGCCGTCGCCGTCGTCGTCGTCCTCGTCGTCGTCGTCGCGGTCGACCCCCCCCCTTCAGGGAGGGGAAGGGGCCCGAGGGACCCGGAGACCCATCCCATCTGGGGGGCAGGCCGTGGGCCCGGAGCCCGGGATCATATTTCCGCCGACCCCCGCTTGCTGGAAGCGAGAAGGCGTGTGAAATCATTGGGCGTCCGCCTCCCCGCCTCCCCCTTACTTTTCTCCTACCCCCAGGCAGAAAATCTAGCTGAAGTGGTGGGGGGGTACTGGGCTCGCCGGCGCACCCCTCGGAGACTCCAGAGCTTCCAAATCTGCCTCACGTGGCCCCAAAGACGTTTCAAACGGTCCCGAATCGCGGCACGCTTGGCCCAAGACGCTGGCGGTTGCTCCAGGACGCACCAAGACGCACTCGAGACGCCCAAGAAGCTTCCCAAAGAGGGCCCCGAAAGGCAAAAATCATGGCTTTCTGAAGATTGCGATTGTTTCTAAGGTGATCGTTTCCTCGAGCTTCCGACGCTCGACGGTCAAAGAGGTCCCGTAGACCGCTCCAAAACTGCCCCAAAGGCCTCTACGAGGGACCCAGGACGGCGGCCCAACAGGGTTCCAAGACGGCCCAAAGAGGGGCGCAAGACGGCCAAAGATCGCTCCAAAAGGGCTCCAAGATAACCAAAAAAGGCCCCAGAGAGGCCCATAAGAAACTCCCGAGCGGCCCAAAAGAGGCCCCCAATGAGCCCCAAAAGGCCGCCAAAAGGCCCAACAGAAACGCCCGAACGGGCCCGAATACCCTTCACATTGCCCCCAAGAAGCTCCGCCAGGTCCTAAAACAGCTCCCAAGACGCCCACAAGAGGCTCCAAATACACCAAAGAAACTCACGACGCCTCAACCGTGGACGTCCCGCCTTTCTGGGAGTCGGCGGAATGGCATAGCCCTTTTTGAATGTGTATACACGTGCGCACGCATGCATATATCTATACACATGTATACATTTGTGTGTATACAGACATCCAAATATATACATATCTATACACATGCATACATCCATACATACATAGACACACGCACACACATGCGTATACATAAACGTAGTATGACATTGCGTACACATATGTATTTGTAGATATGAATGATCTACCCAGGGTGGCGGCGGGGTGTAGGCAACCAGTCGTGTTCGCGCCGAGCGCGCCGCCGCGCACGCATTCGTCGTCGACCGATATATGGCGGTGCAACAACAACTCATGCAATCCGAAGATGCGTCGCCCTGCTGCTGGGACGATGCGGTCATTTATCCGACAAGGCGAAAATGGAGGAGGCGGATGCCGAAGTGGGGGAAGATGTAGAAACCAAGGCGAACACAAAAGAGGAGCACGGGGAGAATGCGGAGACGGAGGAGGCGCAGCAGTAGCAAGAGCATTCGTTTAAGAAGCAAGAATAACAATCAATGTATCAATGTTATACGAATGGTGGTTCCAGTCAGTGTAATAATGATCATTGCGCTAATACTGGCAGCGCCAATGACATTGGTCAGTGTGACGACGAGTGGATGAGTGATGAGTGAGTATGAGTGATTGAGTGAGCGAGTGAGTGTGAGAATGATAATGCTGTGGTGATGCTGATAATGATGATGATGCTGATGATGATGCTGCTGATGATGATGATGATGCTGATGTGAGTGGGTGATGCGGGTCCTACACGGGGGACACAGGGAAAACAAGAAACCCACTCAGGATGTGGGGAGCGAATGAAAACCAAAATGCAACTTTAACACAACTACACTGGGCATACATGGTGCGTAACATACAACAAACCTGCGCATATACAATACGCAAACGAAACGAATGACACAACTTTCCTCCCCGCGCGCAGATGGCGGTTGGAACTGCCTCTTTCTGAATATTACCGCCGTAACACCCCCTCGTTGGACAACCGCACGCAGGGAATGCTAAAACCAGCATTGGTATTCCCAGCGTTTCCTTGGGAATGATCACGGATTCCTCAGGATTCAACTGGTTTCTTTGCAGGGTTCCTCAGGATACATCGGGCCTTGTTTGGAATTCCTCTGGATTGCCCTGATGCCCGAAGAATTTCGTAAGATCCACCAAGCTCCTTCTGGATTCAGCAGAGTCCTTTAAGATTCCGCTGGCTGTTTAAAGGTCTTTCAGGATCCCCCGTACATAATGCTTGCTGTGTTATTCAGGATTCCTCTTGCTTCCGGATAATTCCTAAGATCCCACTGGAGTTCCTTATTGTTGCCCCCGCAGGCCTCAACGTTCCTCAGAAGCCCCATCCAGATTCCCAAGCATGCCGAAGGACTCTTGAAGGTTTCCAGTGGATTCCCCAAGGATCTTCCGAACTCCTGGAAAGCCCGCGAACCCCCGCTTGGTTCCAAGGAAGTGCGTTTCATGTTCCTGGAGGAGCGGGAGCCCTTAAAAAATTCCTCTGGCGCCCGAATCCCGACGAGTCCTATGGACCCGTGCGACATCCTCAGAAAGCCACAAGAATCCTGTCCACGAATTCCTGAAGGATCCTGGGGGTCCCGGAGGAATCCGGGAAAAAAAACATACCATAGGAATGCGACGAAACCAACAAAAAACATGGTGAGGAGCCCTGTGAAACGGGCTCGAATCCAGAGCATTCCTGCGGCGTCTTGGGAAATCTCTGGGAACCCTGCAGCACCCTGAGGAACCCCTGAGGAAACCGCAGGAATTT